TCTGCATCAGTTTCGTGTCCTTGCCAGCAAAGATCACGATACCGTAACACCATTGGGTATTACGCAGTACGCAGCCACGTAGAATAATTTTGTCATTGTCCAGTACGTATCTACGGTGTGAATGTGTCGATTAAAAATTATGATCACTACTTTGTACGCCACCGTTCATCACTTTTGCACTCAAACAAATTCCCAAATTCAAATGGCTTAACCCCCCCCCCAACCCCCTACTCACCCGGTCCTTAGTTTTTTTTTTTTGTTTTTTCTTTTAAATTTTCATTCTCTCCAGATACTCTCATAAAGATTTAATTGCTCGTGCTCAAGGCCTACATAGCAGCGTGAACAATCCATGTATTATATATTATGCAAAAAACAAAAAGTTTGTTTTACTTACTTTTTACCCTTCCATGTGAGAATGCCATCGAATTTGTTCAACAAATTGTTGGGGGTCTCGCAGATGATTTCACCATCGAATTGCCCAATCAATTCATGATTATCCGTCATCTCGGAAGTTTCTTGTAAGCACTGGCGGCACTTTAGATTCGTTTCTCTGATAGGGACGACACATTCGCGATTATTAAATAAATACGTTGTCCCGTGAATCAAGGGGAGAGGGTAATTTATTAAGTACAGACCCGTCCAGCTCCGCTGTCTCGATGTAGCAAAGGCCATTTGGTTCGCTTGTTGTGAGCAGAAGAACGTCCGCAGCGACGAACTGGTCGTTCTCCATTCTTATGACATCGCCAACTTGGACTTGGGACCATTTCTCCTCTCGTAGCTTCGTGCCTCGCAGAGTCCATGATTTCCGATTGTTTACTTGCGAATCACTGCTGTGTCGTTGCTGTGGATAGAACGAGACCGAATTATTATGGATCGAGTCGCCAACTATCAACGCGAGCGATAGTCTGATCTAATCTTTTGTTTAACGGCGTCGTTAGCTCAACATTCAACCGGGACTATGCGTCTTTAAAATCTTGGCAAATATCTCTTTCAACGTGCATTCACTTAAAAAATTGCACAAAGGCTACATATTACGGACAGTTTAATCATTATAATTTCATTCTCTATTATAAGTTAAGAAAGAACCTTCGAGTCCCGTCTTCAAGTATATCGTATAATTTTAAATTTACAATTTTTATCATAAAATTACGAAGCCGTAATCATTTTTTTCATTTACAAAGGCTCGAGCGTAAGTTCATCCCTCTTGGTATTTATCATAGCAGACGAACCTTTACAATTTAAACTTTAAATTTAAATTTACGTTAAAGTATTTAAGCAATTTCATGAGCTCAACAATATCAAAACTTATTTAACTCAATACTTCAATGGGGAGGAGGAGGAGGAGGAGGGGGGGGGGGGGAATAAAAAAAAATTGTAATGCTTTAAATAAGTATTTTATCTTTTCAATTTCCCTTATATGCTGTATTCTCAGTATGAGTACTTGTTTCTCGTAGTTGGATACTTTATACGCGCACAAATAACTCAATTATTTGAAAAATTCATTTAAAAATTGAAAAGCCAAAATTCGAAAGAACAGCTTCGAAATATCAGAAGATACAATTTCTCAGTTCTATTAATGAAGACCTTAGCAATCTATTCTAAAATACATAAGTATAATATAATCTACTGTCATTATTCTCAGCGATTAATCAAGTTATGAATTATCGAAGCATTTTATGCGCTTCGCGTTCAAACACAAAAATTTTAATATCAGTATAAGTATACATACAGCATTACATTGACCTAGAAAAGTTAAATACATCGGTCTCGTATTTCAATACCAACGAGATATCAAATTAAGCGAGCATGAAGTTGCGTTATAATAGATTTTTTATTACCTGTCTTCATAAATTAAACAACAGGTTTCTCAATTCTGAGCCAGAACATCTGTTGCAATAGACTTTAGAATTTGTTCATAAAATATTCACTTTTCTGCCATATTTTATTATCGAAACATCGATGCGTCGCCAAATACTCATTTCATCCTTGCAACGGTATTTAATATTAAAATATTAAATTTGCATTTATTTTTGTTAATTATTATTATAGGACATCTAGAAATCAAATGCAAATATCTACATTTTCCCTTCTAATTCATAGGTAAAAAAGTTCTCGATTTTCATAAAACATAAACAAATATTCAATCGTCGAATGTATTCATTACGCCACTTCATGTTTCTCATACAATTCTAAATTTTCACTAAATTTTCGTTCAACGGGAACTGTAAAGCCAACGAAACCCCTTGTGTTCGTGGTTCACAGACTATTGCAAAATGATTTTTTACATTATCAATTTTTCAGGAAATATTGATGAATATATTGGTTTTTCTGTATTTTAAAAGCATATATTTTTCAATCCTATGTTCACGTAAAGTTTCGATTTATGGTCGCAAACTGCAATATAACATAGTTTCGAGATAATTTGGATAGGAATTGTCAAAACCTATCTAATCTAACCTATTTAATCGTACGTGGGGGTTGTTCATTCGATCTACATTGAAATGAATTATATTATCATTGGCAATGGTAATTAAAGAAAGTGACGGTGGTGTCGAAAGTGAACGAAGCATCGACATTTATTCAATTGATTTTTTTAATTTTTCATAAAAATAATAATTCATTTTAATTTTAAATTTATAATTTTATTTTTTCGGTTTTTTTTTTGTTTTTGTTTTTTATTCATCTAAACTCTACTCGCTGAAAATTAAATGTCCATTATTAATATACTACACTCGCTTATAATATGTTATATTCGCAAATACTAATTAACGGACAACTTAAGTATTCAATTTATCCTATGAATACATCATAAAAACTTGATACAGAGACGTTTTTTATCGTCCACTACTGATTATCCGAACCCAATAAGATCACTTAATCCCGGTCCCCCGTTCTCCGACAAAACGCAACGATAATTATAATAATATTCATACTTACAAAGTCATCATAGGCATCTTTAACGGCAGTGAGCGTGAGTACCCCGATCAAGGGTATTGCTGTGGTGACAGGGGTCAAGGAGGATATCGCGGGAATCAGTTGGAGCACCAACAGGCACAGGAAGTAAAAGTTGGCGAGCCTTTGAAATTGCTCGAATAAATTTAGTGGCAGGAACGTCAGAACCGAATATTTGGACGTTTTGATGTAATTGTTCTGTAAATAAAGCAGTCGGATGCATGAAGTATTTATGATCAAGCATTTAAGTATTAATTGGGCAAGGGAGAGATGAACGCGGAGATTATTGACAATTTCATTAAAGATACTTTTTTTTTTTTTTTATTTTTTTTTAAATAACAATGTAAAATTTGCGGGCTTTATGGGGCAGTATTTATCAAGTAAAAGGTAATTTTTCTAAAAGTCAAAAAACTTCTTTTCGATCATGCCATTTGAAATAAAGTCTAAATAAATCGAATCGTCGATTATTATTGCCTTAAAGCTTTATTTTAATTATGTTATAAGGTTAAAGGTCATATTATATGATAGAATGCGGTTAGCCCAGCCTCTGCACGAGTCTCGGCTCAGATTCAATGAATTGACATTCTCAGATATATTATAACTTTTTTTTTTTTTTTTAATGGCAGCAAAAATTTGTACCGTAAAAAATTACAGTAGGCAGCGGCGAGTGTCTCAGTTAAATCGATAAGACTGAAATTATACAATTTTTGTAAATATTTCTCTCGGACTTTATAAACATTATTTGCACAAATCATTAAATTATATCCGATAAGATAGAAATAACTTGAAATATAAATTGTCTATCTTATTGCGGCGAATCGATTCACCGACCATTGGATTATTTTGAAGCAAAGTGTGTTCAGAAAGCGTCAGTTTATTTACATAAACGTTATAATTATTTATAAAGGAATATATGATTTCCAAGTAGATTATATTTATGATTATTACATTTTTTTATATTAATGGCACATGGAATTTCTTAAATATTATGTGTAATAAGTGTAAAAACTTTTAGAATTTCTTAATAACAATTTAAAAGTAAACTTTATTTTAATTATGAACCACGTGGTGCGAATGAAATTTTTAATTGCCTATATTTTTGTAAACAATAGTACCGTATATAAAAATAACGTGGATTACACTGGTAATGCATAGTTAGTACTGTTGCATATAAAGGGTATTTAGTACAATGTATTACTATGTATATAAATTTCCACATTTATGAATTATCTACTGTTGATCGAAAAATTCAATTAATCATGATATAAATAATTCAACGAAGAAGATAAACAATCGAATGAGAAAACAATTGAGAAATATATTAAGAATAACTTTATTTATTGCAAGTGAAAATGTTAAGGAAAGCTCGGAATACAATAATTAAGAATATAACATTCAATAGTGCGACAATAATAGCATTAGCCATGCTATTATTATTCTTTTTTGCTTTTGTTGTTTTCTTTTACAATTACTATTTAGCAATACTAAAAAAATAACATGGCTGACAAATATTATCATTGGATTAAATTACTAAAATCATTAAGCAAAGAGTAAGCATTACCCTAAGAAGTATATACTTAATTGGCTTATTCGAAGTTGCTAACAAATTTACTTAATATACATTAGATTTTAAAATTAACCTGAAAACAATCATTTTTAAGGAGTTTATTTTATTTATTTTTGTTAATTGACAACAAATATTTCATTATGATTTTTTCGTCTTTTTTTTTTTTTTTTTTTTTTTTTTTTAATACATTTTAACGAATTTTACATACATCAACGAGAAAAGTTTTTTCGTAAATTAAAAAAAAAAAGAAAAAAAAAAGTGAAACATATATTTCATTAATTCTATATTCTGTAATACAGAGAAATTAATTTTATTAATTTTATTAATTAATAAGATACCGTCAGTTGGCAATAAAATTTTTCGAGAAAATTGCCCTCGACGTTAAAAACATTAGAAATATTTAGTTTCACATTAAACTTATGTTGACAAAATAAAAATATTAGTAAAAATACATTTTATTTTTGCACCATTAATATGGTATGATCGCTTACCTACTGTAACTCACTAAGAAATGCATAAATCACATAGAAAGGGGATTTTTAGTTGAACTCTTCTTACATAATCTTACATAGCTCATTTTTTTTCTATTTTAAAAAATTGGAACCTCAATGCCCACGGGCGACTTAAGCATATGCGGTATATCGAATCTCGAAAAACTTATAACTGGATATCATGACCTAACGAAATGTTTTTGCAATTTTTATTTTAGAAATAATTTGATTAGAATTTTACGTCGACTTTGAAAACAAGCATTACTTTCGATAAATATCTATTTTTTAATTTACAATCTATAATTTAAACAATATTGTCTTACATTTTATTTTATAGCATGATTATGTATTAAGTTGGTATTTTATCATATATATATATATATATATATATATTGTTTAAATTAATAATAGTTATGATGTTATTATCGAATAAATTGTAAAGTTATTTATAAAATGTGTACACATTTTCATTGGTTCTTTGTAATTGAAATGATTCTTGTATATTATAAAAATGGGGGATCTAAGTAGTTTTTATCACAAATAATAAATAGAAATTTTTTCATTGTTTTTTGCTACATAAAATATGATCTTACCGCATAGTTAAACTGCAAGTTGTATTCGCGATTATTCGCGCGAATTCGCCTTTCTGCCTCTGAAAAATAAAAAATAATGGAATTTTAATTTTTTTTCTTCTTTTCTTTATATTAAATTAGCAAATAGGTTTAAATATATTTTCAAAATTACTTAAGGACGTTTGTTTCTCATGCGAAATGGGTGAAGAGTTTTGAGTTTGAAGAAAAAGCTGTTTTTGTCGGGTGTATGAATAAATTGTTCTCTAATATTTTCGAATTTTATAATTAATTGTGACAGATCGAACGCATAAACATCCAAATGCTCTTAAAATTATTTATTTAACATTCAAATACAAATTGGTCGATTACAATTTTCGATACAATATACTGCTGAGCGACACGCTGTTTGTTTATCAATTACATTGATAAATAGTTTGTCCATATTTTAAAATTCTTTTAGCAATTTGAAGAATATCGCAGAAATATATCAAGATAAAACTTGGCTACGCTTGTTCGGTGGCACTATATCGAGACTAAATTATTTTAATTTTCTGCTACATTATAAGTGCATAAATTTCAATAGCTTGCAGAGGAGAAATTGAATTTCGAGATTATTTAAGAATTTCATAGGGAGCGCCAATTCGTGCGCGTTAATTGATTAAAATCGAATTGTATTTCATAATATTTCCTAAAATATAATGCATAAATGCAATTAATTGGTTTTACGATTATTTCAAAGCTGTCAATAGAATCGCTACAATCGTTACCTCTACTAAATATATTTATTATCACTTTATTCCTTAAAGTAACGTTTGCCATAATTTTCCTTGAAAAAGGTTTGTGTCAGTCATATCGATCTGCCGCTCATCCTCCGTAATAAAAAAATCTCTCACAAAAACTCACATACAAACGGGAATAATAAAATTCCGTTTAATATAAACTCATGGCAGTAAAAACTTTGGAGTTTATTAGCAGTGGCGCTCCTGAATGTTTATATAAATTTTTCATTGATAAAGGGACAGTGGTGCCGACTGTGCATCCAGAGATCAATAACCAAATGGAAGAAACGCCATTGAAAATGACGGCACATCTCAACGATCAATCTGTATTGAAAATGGACAGACGCAGGATAGAAAGGTATTCGAGAGAATTTTCAGTTGCAAGAATTAGAATTGGGCGGGACCATATCGAATCACGCATCTCGAGTTGGGACAACGGAGTGATAAAGTAATCGGATTTCCTTATTGATTGGCCGCCAATTAGTTGTCAATTGAACGGAATATCCGATTAATGTTAATACGAATCCTTAAAAATGGAATAATTAGATATTTTCAATATCAAATTATAATAGGTTCGTACGGCAGAGGAGATGTGGTTGTTCGCAATTTTTTTACACTGTTCAATGAGAATTCATTTTTATTTGAATATAATATGTCGTATTTATTACCAAGTGAACGGTGGTTACTCTTACACATAGTCAAGACTTTCGGCAACAAAAATTCCTGTGCACTATTTTCTTTATCGTTGTTAAATAAAGTAGTTTAATATTATATTTAGAGAGAGAGAGAGAGAGATAGAGAGAGATAGAGAGAGATAGAGATAGAGAGAGAGAGAGAGAGAGCATGTGTATGCGCGTGTGTGCGCGTGTGTGTGCGTGCGCGTAGTAGTCCTACGGTAATAAGTATAAGCCATTCCAAATGTCCGTTTTTTAAACGTACGCAACTTATTTTATAATAATAAAGCTACAAAAATATAGCTGAAACCAAGTGCTAATAAAGATCATAAATATCAATAGGTGTGAGTGCATTATTTTTCGAGTGCAAAACTTATTTTAGAAATATGATATATTCTATCGATGCACCTATAAAGCTTCTTTTTGAATTATACATGACACATGCAATACACACACAAGCTAAATAATTTGGCTCGTAATCACTACAACGATAGCGATTTTTCACTCCAAGGATAATGTATACGTTTAGCGAGGATTTTTGAGATTATATCATGGCGTATGAGTAATCTTCGCTAATTTATTTTCTTACGGTATATCTTGCGTTCAGATGGGAGGGATAAGTGGAGTGCAAAATCGATATTGAATATTGCATTACAATGGAGCAAAAATTTCACTCTACATATTTGGCGTGCAAAACTTTCACAAAATATACGACTTGAATGAACAAATAATAATGCTTACCCAAGTAGTTTCTCTGTCACTACATTATCATAAGAGTGGACAAACATCGCGAGTCCCTACATATACAATGGTAAATAAAGCGATCGGACATCCAAAAAGAGTGGCCGGGAGGGGGGCAGGTGAGGGGTGTCGAACTAGCAGGGGTCGGATACGCAAAAGTTACAAGATTCCGGGCAGGGTCAGGGAATAGAGAGACGGAGAGAGGGGGAGAGAGAGAGTGAGAGAGAGAGAGAGAGAGAGAGAGAGAGAGAAAATCCGTGGCGTGACCTTGTGGTCGGGTGAGAGAGGACCGTGGAGCGAGGACGTAGACTGGCATGCCTCGAGTGGTCGGGGACGTCGGGGTTGCTGATAATGCAGACACGTGCATGAGATGTGATCCTTACTACGGGAGTCCTCGGCAGAGGAGAAGAAACCCGTGGTCCGTCCGATGCACTCCGTGGGCGGGGGCGAGCTCTGGGGTATGGAGCTCGAGGAGGTCGGGGTCGGCCGGTACCTCGCGCCCTTCCACACGACAAGCTTGCCGAGGACAGTGAGGAGGCTTTCCCTGAGGCTGTTGTGGCGAACGCTCGCGGCCCCGAGGCTGCTCGACGAGTCCCTTTTTAAGGAGCAAAGGCCGTCCGCGGGCTCCTCGAGGCCCTCGCGCGACGAGCTCGCCTCCGGTCCCAATCTCTGCTGTTGTGGCTGATGCTGATGATGCTGATGATGCTGATGATGCTGATGATGCTGATGATGATAATGATGATGTCGATGACGCTGGTGACGCCCCGAGCGCCGACTCTTGAACATTGCATTTGCTAAGTTAAGCCTACGCCGAGGATGGCCAGCGTCCTTCAACGCTCCAAACAGACTCTATTTCGTTTTCGTATATTTAGCCCGAGGAAATTACGAATTATTCCGACGCACGGTCGTTCTCTTTCTCATAGACAAGCTATTTGAAAAAACGAGACGGCGCGATGCGACGGACGTCGGTGCAATAGTGCGATCTCTCGTTTGAGTAGATTTTGAAAAGCCATTTAACGATTCGTCGGAAGTGACAAGCAAAGTATGATTCCAATTGGATGAAAAGCGAGTGACGCGATGTAGACTTCGGTCGCCTCCGCAGCAGGACGAGAACGTACGTGGGTATAGCGGCAAAAGCTTGTCGGTCGTATTACCGTAATGTGAGGATCCGCAGGTGTAGACTTGCGCCTTATTGGCTGGAGTTTTCGCCTCTTGGGCAGTGCGCCTCGGGCACACTCGAGGCTCGAGATGTCCCCTTTACTCGTCTCATTTTCCTCCTTCTCTTTCTCATCATCATCGTCGTCGTAGTCGTCGTAGTCGTCGTAGTCGTCGTAGTCGTCGTCGTAGTCGTCGTCATCATTGTTTTCATCTTTGTCGTTGGTGTCGTCGACGTCATCATCAACGTCATTATTAAAATCATCCTCTTCCTCCTCGTTCTCCACTCGCTCATTATCCTGGTGACTCAGCTCGTCCGTCGACGCGTTTAGGATACCCTCGTCATTCTGCAATGCCCCGGTACACGTGCCAATGCAACGCGGCTCAATCATCCTCGATCACGGCCCTAAATTTATCGTCGATTCTAATTTGCGAGCGATCTCGCAACCGCGGCTAATGGGGACTGCTAATGACCTAATGGAAACGCGCGCTTATCAGACGCTGAAGCGGAGTTCTATCAAAGGATTTCAATTTGACGACGTAAACGCTCGTAGCGTGATTGGCCCCCGACTTTGCAAATCCAAATTCGATACTCTCGCGCACGTTCGATAGTCGAGCCAAGCCTATGTATTTGCGTCGTTAAGTGCGATTGCGAGTAATTGAATACTCAAAGCCGGTTTTTACCTTCGATTACGTCCCTCAACTTCTTCCTCGTCTCTCCCTTAAAATACGTGAAAGAAAGCATCGCGAGAGCGACATCATCGTTGTCTTTGACGAACGGATGCGAACTCGCATCATCAAAGGAGGGAAAATCTGTCTGCCACTCTTTTTCTCACATCGTTACTAGAATCGCCAGCTCGGAATTCCATGTTCAAGAAACCGCGTGTTGCGAAACGACGGTGGTAATTAGGGGATGGGAAAAGGGCTTCTGAAATAGGCGCGTCGTTGAATCGAGAGTCTGGGCTCGGCTCGCGGATTAAGGATAGAGAGAGAGAGAGAGAGAGAGAGAAGGTCGAGGGGACGACACGTCGAGCGAATAATCGAGCGGCGGATAATGTCGGCATGGGGCGCGCGCCACTGGGAGACTGACCTCGAAGATCTCGAGCTCCAGGGTGTCGTGGGCAAGCTGGGACTGGGCACTCATTGCACTAGTCAATCGATTCCTGGGCCGCGTTTCTGCTGCTGATGCTTCTTCTGTCGCTGGTGCTCGGTGACAGTGACCTCGCCTCGACAGTGACCGCCACCGCGCTTAGCCTCGCCAGCGGTTCGGGGCCCGGACTGCCGCATATTAGTAGCTCGTTGTCGCTGGATCCGCCTCTCGTGTCAAACTCTCGCTACCTGCATTTTCATGGGAGTCCCTATTTAGCGTTATTTGTGCAGGTGGTGGTGGTCATCTCTCTCGATTTAACGCTCTCTCGTTTAGCTTCGTCTCACGCGAGCGATGGCACCTTTTTGTCACGAGACATTGATGGGACAGACAATGGAGCTCGGCCAGTTTCGTTAAAAGTCCGATTTGTGTTCGTGCACTGGGTCCAGCCAATTTTCGAGGCAGTGATTGAGGGCTTTGCGGCACTGATTCTCTTTTCATATCGAATGCTAAAGCGCACATGTGTGTGCTTAGGTGCGGGGGTCGAAGGTTTCGGGGGGTAAGATCGTTGGTAAGTAGTTAGGTAAACGAGGGAAGTTAATGGTTTTCACGAGTTAAGAAAGTAATCAAAGTCAGTGTGATTT